TATTTGATTGTTTTAATCTTTATTATTTTTATCTGTTCACAATTTTCTTGTGTTTTTTTGACAGTTTTCGTCACAAACTGTTAACATGTTTCTGATAACAGAAACAGATCAGTGTAATACTGGTCTATGAACACTGCATCCATAGGCCAGGATCATGTGACATTACTGTCTGCTAAAGAGCAGGTGTGTTTGAAGCATTAGTCTTTGTGTTGCACAAAATAAAACACTGGCAGTCCTGCAGAGCGCGAGCCGTTGATTTTTCTCTACATAACACGTTGACACGACTGTACCTGACACCAGAACTTGTCGTGAGGCAATGCAAGCAGCCACTCCAGGTCCTCTGTGATGAATCTGGCATGTTCTAAAAACTCCTCCACGTCAGCTGGAGAGCCGTCTTCTGGAGGGGGCTTGTAAGGCACGAAACAGCGCTCCTCTGTCCTGTCTGGGTGCTGATGGATGGCAGAAAGCACAGGTTGGGATCCTGGTCAGTATGAGAGGTGAGCAGCTGTCTGAGTGAACATTAGCATAAAACCATCAGTGCCGACTCACCAGTGCAGGCAGCGTGCGCTCCTTTCCCAGAGGGCCAGGCTCGGTCACTTGCTGCTCATCCAGTGGCACTCGAGCACAGGCCATGGCTGCTCCTTCTCTGGGTTCTTCTGATGGAGTGTACAAAAAAAAAAAAAGTACATTTTACTGGAGGTAGCTACATTATTATTAGTAGTAGTACTTTTAAGGCAAAACTCCTGGACTTCAGCCCGTGACGGCAGTCCTTGATCAGCGCATTGACCACTTCCTGTAAGGACTATCATCACCTAATGCACTCAAAGACAGCAGAGTGGGCGTCCATCAGACTCATCTGAGTGGTAGCTGACACAGCTGTTAGCAGCCACAAGACGGGAAACAAGCAGGCCACCTGGAAAGCACGGACTAAATTTTCACAATAAAACATTTACATACAGGCTCTTTAAATGTGCACTGAATTTGTATTCTAAATAGGGATCCGACACATTTGATCTTGTTTGATCTTTATACCATGACGTGATCCTCCGTTATTTTCTCGTTGACATCCCTTGTGGATGTTTTGTTGCTGAAACTTGTTTTCTGGTCCCAAATATCAACCATGTCAGCAACTCGGAGTTTCAACTTAAAACTGTCCATCTTTTGAGCATACAGTGGTTTAACACACAGACTAATTATAAGACTAACATCACAAGAACAACCTGAATAGATGAGCAAACAAAATAAAAGGGCAGAGGTCACTTCAAAACTCAAAACACTGAGTAACAGCCACTGCGCTTGTTTGACAAGCAGTAACACAGACAATAAAGGGCCTCATATCTGCAGGGAGGCCGCCAATTAAGGTTACTGTGTAAAGATGGGTCCAATAGCATGATCCTCTCTTTGTGTGCAGCTCTAATTTAAAACAACTGCCTAAATCTGCTCCAGTTATCAGGTTCAGGCTGTTTTGTGAAGGTGAAAATCAACTTAATAAGTTTACCCAGAGTTTATCAATCTAGCTACAAGCCTGTTCAAATAAAATCGCAAGTATTCACAGCAATGGACAATCACAAACATGCAAAGAAATTCTTATTCTGTCCCAAGTCCACTGTGGTTTGCACTGCTGACACATCGTGGTGGGTCTCATTAGTGACAATGATCTGTCAACGATCAGTCGTGATCGTTGACTTCAGGAGAAAACAGCACAGTCATTCACCACTCATCATTAACAGCAGTGCTGTGGAGATAGTCAGCATCATCAAATTCCCCGCAGTAAATGGCCTGTATTCATATAGCGCTTTACTAGTCCCTAAGGACCCCAAAGAGCATCCAGTCATCCCGGCTACATTTCACTGTGTGTTATACTTGTATAACTATGCATGTGACAAATAAAGAACCTTGAACCTCCACCCATTCACACACACATTCACACACTGGTGATGGCAGCTACATTGTAGCCACAGCCACCCTGGGGCGCACTGACAGAGGCGAGGCTGCCGGACACTGGCGCCACCGGGCCCTCTGACCACCACCAGTAGGCAACGGGTGAAGTGTCTTGCCCAAGGACACAACGACCGAGACTGTCCAAGCCAGGGCTCGAACCGGCAACCTTCCGATTACAAGGCGAACTCCCAACTCTTGAGCCACGATCGCCCCCAAATTCCCTGCAGTACAGATAAATGATCGTCCGGACTGGTCACTGAACACATTAACACTGGTTGAACGGGCTCAGCAGCACCTGCACTTCATGTGCTGGTTAAGGAGAGCACACCTTTCCCTTACCATCCACCCATTTAGGACATCACACACAAACACATCTCAGTAGAGCCCATAACATCATCAGAGACTCCGCCCAGCTTGACCACGCAGTGTTCTCCCCGCGGCTCTCTGAGAAGAGGTTTTGGAGCATCAGGACCAGGACAGCCAGATTCTGCAACAGTTTCATTCTCAAAGCCATCAGACTCTTGAACCCTCAATAACCCTGCAGCATCAGTCCCCAGCTACTTCCCCCCCTCCCGTCTCTCCATACATGTATAAAGCACATTCTGAAACTGGACTGGTAGGGACTCTATATTTAGGTCAGTGTAATATTTCTGGAATGGTGAATGTACACTGTTATTCTGTTGCTACACTGCTGTGAAATATATTTATTTCAAAGATCCTGTATAGTTTTTCTTTTCCTATTATACATATATAGGCACATTTTCTCACATCTCAGGTTCTTTTATATTTAGATTTATATAATCTAATGTGCACTAACTGGTTTGCTTGACTGCTTTACTTCTTAAAGGTGGTCACGAGGGAAAGATAAAAACATCAGAGCTTCTTACAACCCGCGTACAGAGGTCTGACATATCTCATCATGCACGTGACCTCCACCTGAGCAGGTTAGATCTGCTGCATGAGTTACCATGGCGATGTACCACACCTTGATAACAGTGACACGCTGGGTTAACCCTGAAGTTACAGGCCTCTGATGGATTCCTTAAATTGAAAGCTATAGATCCAAAAGTATTAAAGAAAAACTCTCTAAACTTTCTATGCTCGCAAAACAAACTGAAAGGATTAACTGATGATAAAAACTAAGCCACGCACAGTCAGTCTGTAGCAAGCTAACGTGAAGGGTTTACTCAGAAAGCTGAAAATAGAAACGAAACACATATAAAAACCCACTCCGGTTAGTTAGGAAGCTAAGGTAAAGTTAGCTAGTAAAACCTCCAACCTGTTAACCTGTTCACGGCTAGCAGCCTGCAGGTAATTAGCTAAGCTCAGACTGATAACTAACTGCGTGCTCAGCTAAAGTTACCTGTTAGCTGTCACTTATTCACAGAGTTTAGCAGCGCGGCAATGAATGGACGCGTTAACACAACGTGTCAAACCAGCCGGTGCCTTCAAACCCGTCCCCCCGGGACCGGAACACCAGCATCGAACTACCGAACAGGAAACAGGCGACATGACCCCGCTCACCTCTCAGAATCACTGTCCCCAACGCCTCACAGCCATCACATCAGAGTCACCACAGCAGCTTCCCACAGTTCCTGCTACCAAACGTTTTCTAAGCATCTGTGTCAGACAGGAAGTGACGCAGTTTGTTTTCCTTCAGCGTGACGCATGTGACGTGCAATGAGGGTTGGCTGTTTACATCGCCCCCTGGTGGGCACCAAAGAACAATGCCTAATTTCTTTACATTTTCCACAAAAAGATGGAATTAAATACAGTATATAAGGCAAAATCACTAATGAGTTTTAAAGTCAGTGATTGGTATGACTACTTTCAATCTTGAACACAATCTGAACTCTTTGGCAGTTTTCTTCTCATTTTTGTAAGGTGTCTTGAGGAATAACTCTCCAGGCTTGTTGAAGGACACTAAACACTCTTTACTGGATGTTGGCTGTCTCTTGTCCTGTTCTCTGCCAAGATGATGCCACTACTACAGTCCAGGCTCTTGTGAGGCCAGTCCATAACTGATATTTTCAGGTATGCTTTTATTGCATTGGCAGTGTACTGGGTTCATGCTGCATATTTATTGAGATATAAACAGGTACTCCAGTTAGGGGACTTGTCTGTTTGCACTACTGCCTAGTGGGCATCAAAGCCCAAAGGAAACAGTCCCTATGGCAGCTGGGATAGGCTCTCAGACTTTTGTAATGAGTGCTCAGCAGTGTTCTTACCTTTATTGTGTGTGTGATCTGAAAACACACACGTACACAAATAAGACTGTTTTGATATGTTGGTGAGTTTGTATGGAAGGAGCTTTTGTGCATTTTGTATTTAGATGTTTGTGAAAAAAAGAAGGTTCTAAGAAATGTGTCTTTGCAGGAGTGAAAAACTAATGTGCAAAGCATAATCAGCTTCATTGTGGTTTCCCGGTCAAAGGTGACCTCCTTTTCCTCAAGAACGATAAAATTTGAATGCTTTCTTTGTTATTAGAGAACTGTTTGAACATCCACTCGAGTAGCCTGGATCCCGTCTGCTACAGTATTTGTCATCTTAATGCTTTCATGATATTTGCTGAATAGTACATTTCTCCAAGAATGAAGGACCTCTAATAAACATATTCTTCCAAGTAACATAACCTCTTAAAGGTGGGAAGCTCGGTAATCTGAGGACAAAGAGCATTTCATAACATTGATTAATACTGAAGCAATCAAGCTGGCTCACTATTGTATACACAAATACTTTTTTAAAGGCTCCGTTTGTGTTTATCATAGCTTTACTGTTTGCTTTATCTATGACAAACTAATTATGGCTTTTAATCATTTTTACACAAAAAGAAACTGAAGCTACATCCAGTGAGCCGTTTTCATCATCACGTTGGGCTTTTAGTATCAGCCTCAAGGCTTCAGCAGCGGTGGGAAAATTCAGAATTAAAATATTTTAAAAAAAGATAGATACTATATTTATTCATATAAATGACTCTGCCTGGTCACTTCTAATTAAACTGGTGAAAAATAAACCAAAAATCAAGCACGGTATCAATGATGACACTTCAACAAATACAATTTCTTGAAAAATGAAATTTATATATAAAAACAATCTCCATGACACACACAGAAGGCTAACGAGGATTCTCATACATGAAATTAGATACAATACTTTTCAAAATGATCCTTTACAAGTCTGCGAGAGCGCTGTAAATATTAAAATGGCCAGAAAGCCCATCCTCTGTCAGTCGGTTGGTTGGTTCGAGGGTCAGCTCCTCATAGATTTGTCTCTCCCTCTTGCTTTCTTGTCTTCTCCATCACTATGCTGCAGCTCTAATTTGAACATATCAGTATTTTCTGTTATTAAATTCTATAATTCCCTGCTTTTTCCTGCTTACAGCCCCTGACCGAGCCCCAACACACATTCACAATTAGCTGAATTCTTATCATTTATCTCTCCTATTTTGGCTTCCTTAGTTTTATTAGAAATCCCACCCTCCTGCTCCCATGAGCAACCTGACCCCCAATACAACCTCCTCACCGTAATCTTTCTGCTGCGTTTATAAACTTCCCGATAAAGTGTTCTTCTCTGTGTTCTGCGTCTGGTTTTTGGTCGGTAATGTTCCTGTTTCTGCTCCAAAGAACCTCTCCTGGTCTCTGAATGTATTATCTGCATTGACTGAGTGGATATGTTATCAGTCTGTGTGTGCTGTAAACCCACTGGCTTCAGGGTTTAGCTTGTATCTGACCCGTTTATTCTAAATAAAAACTAAACTCCGTCTGGACTCATGGTGTGAAACTAAGCACAACACTTGATCTTAGATGTAAAGCATAAAATAAATATTTTATGGCTTAAGCAACAATAAATAATCTGTTACATGACGTATCAAGCAGCAGTAATACTCGCTGTACCACTCAGGGTACTCTTTGTAATGGCTTGCCTTCTCCTTCCTGGAACTACAATTTCATCTTTATTGTAAACCCATCACGGGTTTCAGCTTCGAGCTCTAATAAATAATATTCTACAGCTCGAATCTACACTCACATTAGGAAAAGTATGTAAAGATGCTACATAATGGATCACGTCAGCTCTGTTGAAGTGTCAGTGTTCAGATGAGGGGAAATCTTTTTAATCCACCTGTAAGACAAACACAGAAAGCAACCCGACAATCTTACACTGCTGTAGAGCACAACAGCTGCCCCCCCCTCCCCTCCAATAAACTATTAACCCTTTACATCATAAACCTTTTTTTTTTTTTTTACAGCATCATGGCCAAATGTATGTGGACACCCAAACCCAATGCCCCTAACAACAGCCTCTGCTCTTCTAGTTTTGTAGTTGTGTCCATCAAACTGGATGGACATTTGCACACACGAGATCCATCGCTAACACAGCTCCTCTGCACAGCGCTGGCAGTAGCTTTTCTATTCGTCTGCAAAATGCTACTAAATGGGTAAAACGAGTAATTCTCAGCATTTAAAGAAGATCTGTTGGGCTGATGTCCAAATGCAGTTTAAGTCTTGATCTCTAGAGTTGCTGTGCAAGGTTCACAGATCAAATTAACTAATATTTCATTAAGATAAAGGTAAATAAACTGTTTTAGCTCCCTTTAAGTAAAAAAAAGTGTTTAAGAGCTTTTGGCTCACAGGGTTTTAGGCAACTTGAGCCACATTAAAGAGAAAATAAGGAAAGTTCTTCTTAATGAAAAACCTAAAAATGAGAAAAGAAACACACAAAGTAAAAAAAGAAAAGAAAGTCCATCCTTGTTTGAGTTTCAGCTGATATTTGATTTTTGACCAACTAACATGATAAGAAAGAAACTTTCATTTCAGCATCTGCATTTTCTTTCTGAGTTAAAAATATCGTAATCATGTCATTTGATTCCCCTTAGTGGGATTGAGTTAAAAATGCAGAGCAGACTGTTTCCATGGTTAAAATGGCCAAAAACCCCTTTAAAAACTGCCCGGTGACAAAAAGAGGCATCGAGTCTGTCCACATACTTTTGGCTGTAGTTCTTAATTCTGAATCGCTAACACGGATAAGGTCACAGGCGAGGTGACGTGTGCGTGATTATACAGTATGATCCACCTTACAGTATTCTGTTACAATGACACCGTAAAAGAATAGATAATCTGGGAAAAATAGTCTATGGGATATGTGAAAACTGCAGATCTGCACTCGGAATTCAAGATCAGAAGGAATAAAAAAGCTAAAACTTTTCACTTGCTATTCTAATGAAGGGCACAGATGGTAAACTACAGAGAACTGCTGCCGCCGTGATCTGGATGGAGCCACTTAGTCCCTTTTCCGTGTCTGACCCCGGAGTCTTTGGGAGTTACCGGCTGGCTGGCTGACACGTGCGCTTCCAAACATCACTGCGTAGCCCTTCACCATTCTCAATGGTCTGCCCATATTTGGTCTTTAAAAGTCAGTATTCATGTGTAAAAAAATATAAAATCAACTCACAGACAACAAAGTCCAGCTGGAAGTCGGAATAATTCCAGTTTAAATGTTTTAACATTTGCTTTTTGGTATGGAATGGAGAAAAAGAAAAAAAAAAAAGGGGACGTGTAGTGCCTGGGAATCAGAGATGTTTGGAGTACAGCTGCTGTTACCTGATTGTGCTTTTCACAGAGGATTCATGATATAAACACTCGCTAGGAATCTCAACTGGCCTGAGTGGAGGCTCAATGGCATCAACCAGGATGGATGATGAGGATGAAGGTTGAGGAAAGACGCCTGGAGAGCAGTCTGACGAAAAGGGGAACATCTGAGAGACTGGGTGAGGGTATTGCACATCAAGTATAGCCGTCTTTTGCGACTGCTTCAGTTGATGTTTCAGGACGTTTTCAGGGCAGCTGTGCAGAAAGGATTGAAACGCTGAGGAGACAGGGCCGTCAAACCCTCGACCTTGAACCCTCTGCATGCAGGAACTGCACTAAAGCAGCTTCTCGTATAACTTCAAACGACGATTGGGCGTACCTGCCGCACAACCAAAATCCCCAAAGTCCAGAACCCGAAAAATGAGAACAGGAGGAAAAAAATAGAGGAGAAACTTTGAGCCAGCCTCTCTTTGTTTGGGCTCCGACAGCAGCTGATGGTGATCCTGGAGGAGTCTGCTGCTAGCCCAGCTGTATCTGTCCAGAGTACGTCGTCAGGAGGACCATGATGGAGAAGCCCGTCAGCAGGCCGGCGTTCTGGATGCCAAAGGTGAGGAGGAAGCTGCTGCCGCCTGCATCCTCTTCCTCACGACTCACCTCGTTCATCTCTGGAAACTGTGACACATAAAACAGAGTGTCACTTCGTAAGTATCTAACGAGTAAACAAGAACAGCTCGACCTTATTCAGCTCAGTCACACCAACTACTACTCATTATCTTACCCCTCATTCAAATTGTTCAATCTTTCAAAGTCCAACACATAAAATATTTACAAGAACTCCCCTTTCCTAACCAGCTGTTCAAACCTTCTGTATGTAATAAACAGCCAATCAGAAGAAAGCTGGCTTAGAGTGGGAGGAGCAAAAACAGCTTGTTTCAGAGAGAGGGTAAGCTGGGAGGCAATCAAGGCTAAGATGAGAAAGAATCATTCAGGATTATTTTTTTCATTTATGGGTCCAAGAATAAAAAATGTGAATCTGAAAATGAGCAGCAGAGCTCCGCCTCAGGTCAGCTGTCAGCTTAATCGCACATGTTTCAATATACATATATTAACACAACCTAACGTGAAGGATGTAACAAAAACTGCAGAAGCAAACTGACTAGCAATCAGTGTACAGACTGTATAGTACAAATCATTTATTTCATTAGGCACCTTTTAAGTTTATTACATAGAAACATAATGCACAGTTTTTAAACTTTCTTTGAAATATGACTCTTGGACATCCTGTACAGTGTCTGACAGTGAGAATTTTAAAAAGACTTTTACCGCTACAAATAAATTCTGTACTTCTGATTGGATTGTTACTTGTTTATTATTTTTATTTCTCAGCATAACCAACTAAACAGCAACACGAGAACATATTTCAAAAGCCCACTACCTCAAGAGACCCATCTGTGTTGATTTAATCTCATAGGTCACAAATCACTGACCATGTCTGCCAGAGCGATGTAGAGGAACATTCCTCCTGCCAGGGCGAAGATCCAGTTGGGAGAGAAGCTGTTACCGGCCAGGATGCCAAAGCCCATGCCCAGGTAGCAGCAGCAGGCCGACAGGAAGTTAAAGAAGAGAGCCTGCTGTATGCTCATGCCGGCGTTCAGCAGGATCACAAAGTCTCCTGGTAGCAGGAAAACATGCAACAGAGTCAGAACAGCTGATATTTCAAGTAGTTTGTTTTGTGACAGCAAACAAAACACATCCATTAAATTCATTAAGAAATGTTCTTATACTAAAGGGCCAAAAGGAAAGTAGCTGGGGTTAAGCTTGCAGCCTGATTATCTCGGCATTAGGGACACCCGCCCGCTCAGAGTCCGCCCTGACTCACCCAGCTCATGGGGGAACTCCTCGCACAGGATCGCCACCGAGGTGCTGATGCCCTGGAAAACAGAGGCGGTGAACGAGGCCCCGATGGCCAAGCCGTCAATAAAGTTGTGCAGGCCGTCGCTCAGTGTGATCATCCAGGCCAGCGTGCCGATATCAGAGTAGGTTGTCCCCTTCAGCCAATAGCAGCCGCCACCACTGGTGCCTGACCGGCCACCGCTGTCTGGACTCTGAGAGTCCTGGAAGGAGCGGAGGGAGAGAAACCGGTGGTTCCCACTTTGTAAGTTAAATTTCTTTAGATCTGATTATTTCAACAAGAGTGATTTTGTTGTTTTTAGGTGTGAACCTCCAGTCATAAACTGACACTGTCCACATATACAAAAGTTAATTCCCATTTTCATTTTCTGCGTTCCTCTTCTTTTAAAAGTCCAGCAGACAAGCTGCTCTTTAAGCTGTTACATCCATACCTGTGGAGTCTGTGCAGGGCTGAGCATGAGCTCGCCCTCCCCTGCGTCCACTTTGCCCAGAGCCAGGCTGCTGAATATCGGCAAAATTATTTAAATTGCAATAATATCGTATCCGTTGCCGTCGCACCTTCTGTGAAGACCCTAGTAGCCAGGCATTGCTGGCTTCTTCGCGTTTCGATGTGCTGCAGCTTCTTATCTCTTCTCAATCGTATCGTGGGACTCTTCACTGGTTGATCTCCCCCTCCTCCAAATCCCTGTCAGGGGTTGAGTAATGATCTGCACCGGGGTAGTGGCTGTGGCCGTGGCTCTGAGAGACAGGCGGGGAAAAACTCAGCACATTCTGATTATTGTGAGCAGCATCTTCCTGACAGGTGAAATAACCTCAACATCTGGTTAAGAGGAGGTGCAGATAAGAGATCTGACTTAAAAGTTGAAGATGTTCCTTTTTGCTTTTGTCGTATTTGCTGGGACTGAACAGCTGAAAAGGCCGACCACGTGATTTTAACTATTTTCTCCTTCAGTGACTCAGTGAGGTCGAGTTCTGTGAACTGTCTGCAAAGCCAACGAGGAATGAAATCTGCTCAAAAGCGTGCAACAAAGTTGCGAGTAAACCACAGCACAATTTTACGAGCTCCTTTAGCTCGTAAAATTGTTAGCAGTTAACTAGGTTGGACTGAAAAAGAGCAACCACAAGGTGGAGCAACGGTCCCACAATCACACCCCACAGTTTCTTTTATTGGCTTGTCATTTAAAATTTTAGATTTAAAATCGAGGAAAATCTACAAAACGAGTGCTGAATCTGTGCAAAGTTATTATTTTTAACACTGAAACCGTTAAAGTATCCACTCTGAGGCTTTTCGGCTTTAAGGAATTTAATTTTCTAAGAGCCGATGACAGGACACCCTGCTGTATCTTTTTATAGTGGAGAATTTTGAAATACAAACACATGCTACACACCACCTATCAAATCGCACCACAGCACTGGCTGCAATATTCAGTGTCTACAGCTTATATAGGTATGCATATATAGAAAACAAGCTTTGCGTATTTGAGTTTATGGTGTTAATCTTTCAAATATTTTACTGTTTTCACAAAACAATGTGTAAAAGAAGAAGAGGGTGAAAGCGGTCGCAGGCAGCTCAACATATTTAATAACTGATATTTAATTAGCAGCGACATCTGAGTGACTGAAGCTGTTAATTTATATAATTTCACCTGATAAACTGCCGAATAAAACTTTTCTGCCGCAGTTGTTCCCACTTCCGAGGTGCGCAGGGAGGAGAGGATGAAGATCCAGGTGGTGTGAACTACGACCTCTCCGTGAGCTTCTACGGCGATTCAAATATTTTATTTACCTTTTCGGAGAACCTTTTATCAGGCATCTTCTAACACATGAGCGCATCTAAGGTAATAAATGATTTATTCCAAATATTTTCATTTATTTTTTAAAATGTCTTTTTAAGTGGATCTTCCTGAGCAGTTGCACTTCTCCCGTTTACAGACCACATATTTCACCATCAAGGTTTTCTATTGGTCGCTCCCCTTCGTCGGCACCAATGACTGGGAATATATCACGTGACCAAATGTCCATGACGCGCCATGTGGTGCCTCATTGGCTGTTACGTGTGTGGAGTTAAA